AAAAAAAAAAAAAAAAAAAAAAAGAAAAAAGAAAAAAGAAAACAAAGAAAGAAAAGACAAATCTTTGTATGGTCGGGAAAGTGATGAGATAAATATTTCCAAATCACTTATCTGACAGGGTTTTATATTTAGAATGAAGAATGTTTACAACCTAACAATAAAAAAGACAAGTAGTTAAACTAAAAATGAACAAAAGATATAAATACAGATTTCTTCAAAGATGATATACAAGTAATCAATAAAAAGATGTTTAACATCATTAGCCACCACAGAAACACAATAAAAACCTCTATAACATATCATTCCCCATTCACTTGGATGGTGACTATATAAAAAAGATAAATAAAAACAAATGATGGCACAAATATGGAGAAATCAAAACTCTCATACACTGGTAGCAGAAATGGAAAATGTACAGATGCTTTCAAGAACAAGCTGGCAGTTCTTCAGTGATTCAGCAATTCCACTGGAAATTGAATATCCAGTATGTATACACAGGAGAAATGGAAACACACATCTACACAAAAATATGTACATAAATGTTCAGAAAAGCATTATTCATATTATCAAAAATATGAAACAAGCTAATTGTCCACCAACTGATGAATGTATGAAGAAAATGTAGTATGCCTATTAAATGGAATATAACTCAGCCACATGAAGTAATGATGTATTGATATATGCTACAAGGTATTGAAAGCTTATGATGTATTGAAAACCTTTTGCCAAGCAGAAGAAGCCAGACACACACACACACACACACACACACACACACACACACTCACAATATTGTATGGTCTTATTTATAAGAAATGTCTAGAGCAAGTGATTTGTGAAGAAGGAAGTAGATTTGTAATTGCAGAGGGCTGGGAAACTGGTAGAACTGGAGCAAACTGTTAAGGGATGCCATATTTCTTTTTGGGTGTATCAATGATTGTACAACTATGACTATACTAAAGGGTACTTAATCACGTACTTCAAATGTCTAAATTGTGTGATAAGGAAATGTCTTAATGAAGACTTCAAAAATGTTTCTGGGCCTATTAAAATTATTATGGGACATATGAACAGTGATATCATCATTACCTGCACATACCCATGTTGACCTAGCAACTTCTATCTTTCACTGATTGTCATCCTCAAGGGAACACACTAAACATCTGCCTACATCAAGGACACACTGGAAATAATATGCAGATGATTTATAACCCTCTTCTGTACTGAGGACCAAAGCCAGGGCCTTCACACTGAGCTACGTCCCCAACTCTTTTAATTTTAATTCTGAGACAGAGTTTCAGTGTGTCATTAAATTGCTCAAATTGGACTGAAACTTGCCTTGCCTCAGCTTCCCTGAGGGTTTGGGATTATGTGCCTGACTATGATTTGGTTTTTGCTTGGTGCTTTCTATCACCTATGTTTCCCAAGTCCTTGTTCCTTTTCTTAAACTTTAAAATTACCATTGTTCAACCAACCAAACATGCAGTGGTATATTTCTAAAGTTTCTCTGAATAATGTTCATTTTTAAAAAGCTGGCTAGAAGTATCTCTTGGTTGCCATGTTGTCTTAGAAAGTTTTATTCATGGCCCACCTATTGAAAAGTCAGAAGGTTTTCAAAACAAAATTCTTTTCAGAGATCCTACATAGAATTAAATATTCAGTAAGTATTTTGAAGCAACTAAAAACAGTGATTTATGGTTATTAATTTAGTCAGTAAGAATTAGATTTAAACTAGATTCTGTTTGTTTAAAACATATTTTGTATGTCCTTCATGCACCTACATACTTTAGTGAAACTTTTATTATCTATGTATTTTATAAAAAAATTAAAAGGTGTCTTTATATCTGAAAATACTTTTTCATAGTATGTTGCCAAATGGAGCACTAAAAATGCTTTTTCAGAATATTGAACACAGGGGCCGGGGAGATGGCTCAGTGGAATAAGCACTTTGCTGGCAAGTGCAAGGGCCTGAGTTCAATCCCCGGTTCCACCCAAAAAAAAAAAAAAAAAAAAAAAAAAAGAATACTGAACACATTCTGTTTCTGATAAGGTAACTAAAATTATATCAGAGGGTATAAGTTAAGTGCACATCCTGGGTTTGTCCTCGACCGCTAAATATGAGATCTTTGTTTCTTCAGTCACTTTCAGGTAAAACCTGTCCATCTGGTTTCTGTCCATTTCCCCCTAACTCTTAATTTAGTGCAACTGAAGAAAAGATTCAGGCTAAGTCCCATTATGATGAATTTATCTTTAAGTGGGAACTCAAGTTTTAACTACAGCTTAATAGCTTTAACTACAGCTTAATAGCTTAATCTTCACAAACTCATCTGCAAGCAATAAACATAGGGCCTACCTTGGAAATCATAAAAAAAAGGTTAGATAACAAATAAAAAGCCTAATTTTTAGAATGGTCATATTTGAGTACAGTAATTTAGTCTCCTTTCTATTCTACCTCATTGTCATTTTTTTTTTTTTTTTTCAGAACCAGGGATTGAACTCAGGCCCTTGCACTTGCCAAGGAAGTGCTTATTCCACTGAGCCATCTCCCCGGCCCCACTACCTCATTGTCTATTGCCCCTTATTAAAGCAGTTAAAGGAAAATGTATGCTTTTCATGATTTATACCCATCAAATTATGGAATTCTTTCTTTTCTTTGGCAGAACCAGGGATTGAACTCAGGCCCTTGCTCTTGCCAGGGAAGTGCTTATTCCACTGAGCCATCTCTCCGGCCCCAAAGTATGAAATTCTTTTCATGACAGATTTTTTCTTCATTGCAAAATTTTCAGTTTTCATAACATCTCTAAGTATGTTCTTCCCCCCACCCCACCTAAGACTTGGTGTTTTAAAAATTTTATATTGCTAGACATGGTAGCACACGCCTATAATCCCAGCATCTGGAATCCTAAGGCAGAAGGTGCAACATAAATTCAAGGCCAGCCTGAGCTACAGAGTGTATTCAAGAGTAGTCAGAACTAGATAGTGAGGCCCTGTCTCAAAAAATGTATCAATGGTATTTCATATTTGTGACATTTAGTCCAAATTTCATATCCCATCGTCAGACAAGGAATCTCATTTTTATGTTGCTTGCCATATGCATACCTCAAGATAATGTTATAAACGCGCAGGTGCAGCATTAATAGAAAGGGATTCTGCTCTCATTCATCCCACATAGTAATGATATAAGTAAGTACTGGAGATTTATATGGGAGTGCATTCATTTTAATTAATCTTGAGTTGCTACAAGGAAGAAAGTGGAAAGGGATATATTTATCTCCATTTAACTCTAAGATTTCTGGGAAAAGTGTAATAATGACATTGACAGAGGTACAAAAACATATATATATATGTAATATATATATATATATATATTATATTTATTTTTTATTTTTCCCCCAGAGCTGGAGATTCTTTGGGTCGGGCGTTGTCTTGTTCTATTTTTCAGGCAGGTGCTTATGTTGCTGAGCTATCTGCCCAGCATAGAGTTGGGGATTGAACCCAGGGCTTCAGAGGTGCTAGACAAGTACTCTGTCACTGAGCTACACTATCAGCCCCTATATGATTATTACTTTTATATACTGCTATACTTTGAAGAGTTTTACTTTTGTAGCTTGATAAATAGGTTACAGTGAAGTAATAAAACAGAGAAAACTGATATTTATAACTTACTTTCATAGGTTATCCCTAACATTACCCATGAAGCCATATAGCTGAAGTCCAGAAGTTGGTCAAGAACAAACTCATTCTCTTTTTCATCTCGAATACTCAGAATATGTGATCTTGAATCTGTTAAACAAAAATGTCAATAATTTTAATGATTACTTATGCGGAATACTTTATTTCGTCTATAAGATTTAGAAAATTTTCTTTCTTAGTTTAATAGTCTTCAAAACATACTCATGGAAAAACAAACATGTAAATTTAAGCTATCGTATTGTACAAACTAGTTTATTAACATTTAGATGTTAAGTTTAGTCTTACAGTGTAGTGGAAAAGTAGTAGCTAAGCAGACAATTTAAAACATAAATTAACCTTGGTTTCCCCATTTCAAGCTCATGATCAGGTGGCAGAAGTCCACTTGTATTAATGATATACCAGAAGAGACTTAAAGAAACCTCTCAGATGAGCCGTAAGACACAGATGCCTTTTTCTCAACGATCACTATTAGGGTATATTTCTCAAGCTGCACTCCTAACCATGGGAGTTTCTCAGAAAACATCTGCATGGTTAAAACATTAGCAAGCACTGGTTTAAATGAAGTTAAACTCATTTATATATGCCAGTACTTCTTAAGGTACAGAGCACACATTAGGGAATGATGAATTCATGTTTTTTTTCTAAGAACTTTCCATAAAATTTACAGTTTCATTAGTTCTACCATTCAAAAATCACAAATCCTCAGTGGATTTCTCTGGAAATATTCAGTATTTTGAGAGTTGAAAGTATGAAATGTGTGCTCTATGTAAGCATAGCTGTTGTGTACTTAACTACTTAAGCTAACCTATATTCACTCTGACTTTCATCTACCTTTTTTAATCTCCACTTCTCTGATTTTTAGTGTAACTTCATTTCCTTTTAAAGAGAAACCCATCTTATTTACACCAATGAAGACTAATTCTCAGCTGCATGAATAAAAAAGTGACTCATATCCTTTCCATCTTAATCACACAGTTTAATACACTGTAATTGATAATGTAGAGCTAAATACTTCTGAGATTTAGTTATTAGTACTAATTGGAACTATTTACGATGCAGACAACTTTCAAAAAGAATTAGCATGGTTCAATACATAATGACAGTAGAATACACTTACTCATTTTTTGGCATTTGGAATGAACTTCATCTTGTGTCATTGTTCTATGTGTACTCTTGGTTAACATGAAATTGTAGCAGGAGTTCTGAAATGGTACCCATGGGGTATTTAGAACAGGAGATGGACATTTAACTCTGTCAACTCGCTTAGCCTCAGTCTCATCTAGAAAAAGAGTTGATGTTGAGAATTCCAATTTGACATATAATGTTAACTTCTGTTTGTAGTCAGTAGCCTGAATTTGTAGGAAATATTCAGGAAGCCTACAAATAATAGCTTTCTGATGCTTCTTCTCTGTTTATGCTCAAATACAGCACACAGGAAACTTGCTTTTTACATGGAGGAAATAACTTACCACTATTTTCTTAGCCCAGCTGTGAGCAGAAAAAAATGTTAGAAAGAAGGTTCTTTTATGTTAAATGCGGTTTGGCTTCTCATACATTATCAAATGTCAAGTGTAAGGGCTACTTCAGAGAAACCACTCAAACAGATCAATAACAGGCACCTAATTATAACTTTGATAATTTGTTTGACATTTCTGCTTACTGACATCTCGAATCTTTTTTTGGTGGGGGGTTCTCAGCACTCCTTGAGGGCAGAGCTGGAGCAGCATGTGGTGTCGGGGATCAAACCGTGGTCCCCTGAGCCTGCCTAAGCTTGCTTAAGCAGGCTCCTTAGACCACTGAGCCATCTCATTGGCTTGACATCTCTAATCTTAATGGAACATTTTAATGAAATACTCAATGTTCTAAGTTATTACTTTAAGCAAATCAAACAGAAATATTTATAATGTGACCACTGGAAAAATCTGTCTTTTTTATTTTATAACAAGGCTGTATATTCAAAATGATACAAATATAGATATGACCCACTCAAAATAAATTAAATTAAATTAATATGTAGCTCTAAAGAGCATCAGTATCTCTCCCACTGAACAACCAATCCCCTTGTCAGTGAAATAACATGTTCTCTCCACCACAAACCCACAAACATGGACCCCCGATAGCTGAGCGCCACTTTCCTTTGACTGAGCTAGAGATTGCGTACCTGACTCACGCTGAGTCCACCAGAGTCTAAGAATGGGAAAAGTGGAATTCAGAAATCATTAATTCATCTCCAGAAATAGCACAAGTAAAAGTTGCAGAGCCGCCATGTTCCACTATGTGCAGAAGGAAGCAGAAAGCATATAAAGAACAGGGTGCAGACACAGAGAAAAACAGAAATGACAGGTAGAAGGGTGCGTGTATGGGCCCCTAGTTTCCATTCCCCAGGGAGCTCATCTCTAGCTCTATTTGAGAGAATCTGTTTCCCTGTTGGCTTACGCTAGGTTAAGGCTGTTGGTATAGCTTGCAGGAAGCTGAATCTTAATAGAGGCTCATGAAAGTGATAGTTACTGATAGTAAGAATTATGAAAGAGTTCCCACAAAAAAAAGTTTTGGAGACAATATAGATACAATGTGTATATAAAAGGAGTCTGAGTCACAATGGGACTCTAAGTGCTGATCAATAAGAAACCCAAAGTATAAAGAGCAAAATAAATAGTAGATGGAAGTAGAGCAACCTATTTCAAATGGAAAGGAGCACAAGAGACAGAAGGAGGAGGAAAAGAGGAAGGGAAAGGGGAGTTTTTGAAAAAGTTAGAGAAAAACTGGAAATAGAGTTTGTGCGATGGGAAGGGGAGCAAGAGTTAGAGGGTGGGGGGAAGGGGACAAGGTTAAGCATTAAGGTTGCTCTGTCTGTGTACATACTCCCCATGATGATTGTAATCACTAGGCACTGCAAATGTGCACTAACAAAGGCAATGTGGTGTTCACATAAGATGGAGTTCTACATTACTGTCAAGAAAGACAAACTCGAGTCATTTGTAGGAAAAATGCATGCACCTTGAGACCCCATTAAATGAAATAAATCAGACATGCAAGCTTGTGTATCACATGGTTTCTCCTATGTGAGAAATGCAAAATATAAGTAAAAAGCCAAATAAAAGGTAGATGATAGGAAGTAAGCACATGATCCTTTTCAAATGGAAAGGGATCAAGAGATACAGGGGCGGCAAGGGAGAGGATAAAAACAGAATTAAGATGTGTTATAGTCATGTACCAACTTCATACAAGCAATGTAAATATTATGTACTGCAAATATGTACTAATAAAAATTAAAATGAAGAAGTCAATGTTGTCAGCTTATATAAGCTGGTAAATATGTCTAAAATAAAAATTAATGACAAAATAATAAGTAATTATATTTTTTGAGGCTTTTTTTGGTATAGGTATCAAATTCAGTACCTTGCGCTTGCCAAGCAGGCGCTTTATGCCATTGCTTTATGCCATTGCTCCCTGGCCCAAGTAATTATACTTGAATACAAATTTTCTTATAAAAAGAATATGGTTATAATTTCTTCACAATTATAGAATCAGATTTTACAAAACCACTGCCCTAAAATTCCTATGAGACTGATTATTTACAAATTAAAATAATTGAAATTCACATACTTCCTGGATAATAGCAAATAGCACCGGGTTGATTTTCATTGCAATCAGCTGTTTTCCAGAATCCATCAGTGTCTAATATTACACAGTCTTCAACTTGTTGGCTATTTTCAGCCCAGCGACTGAAATGAAGATGTTTCCCATCTGACCAACCAAAGTTGCGCTCATCCTGTAAGGTACGCAAATACATTTCAAGTGGTGATACTCATGTTGTCCCCTTTTTATTATTGTGATACATACATCAACCTAATGACTTTTGATTTAATTTTATATTTAACACACATGCATACTACTGTGTATTAGGTAATGCCTTAAGTGCTTTATGAATACTGACTTATTAATCCTCATAGCAAACCATATGAGAAAAGTTCTATGATTTTACAGATGAGGGAGGTAAAGATTTGTAACACATGAAAATCACACAGAACATAAACAGCAGTTCTGGGACTCTACCCCAGGCCATGATGTCTCTGGAGTCTGTGTCTAGCCTTGTGCTTTGCTGACTCATACATTACTGGAACTGTTGGTTGTTGGAAAACAGAAAGCACCAGAAAAGCACAGTATAGTGAAGGGAATATGGCTTTCAAGCTAGTTTTATCTGAGTGCAGCTGCTTATTTGCTTTGGATCCACAAGTTTACTTTTTCCAAGTTGCCAATCCTTTATCAATTAGAGAATAGCACAATGATGGTTATGTATAAAAAATAAAAATCCTGTGGCTAGCTGGCACACAGCTATACACATGGTAGTTTCCTTCTTAATGCTGTAGGCCTTGGGGCAAAACATGTCTGTTTTGACATTTGTCTTTGGGAGGAAGATATATCTCATATGCTACAAATATCCATTTTGTTGTTTTGAGATGGGATCTCACTACGTCATCCAAGGTAGCCTTGAATTTCTGGTTCAAGTGATCCTCCCACCTCAGTCTCCCAAATAGCTGGATTTACAGGTATTGCATCTCTGCACCTGGCAAAGTTTTGTTTGTTGCTTTGTTTGTTTCCGCAGTGCTGAAGATTGAATTTAGGGCTTCCTACTGGCTAGGAAAGCACTCTACCACTGACCTCTACCCCCAACCCCCTAGAAGTGAGAGAACATGTCTTTTCTCTAATAAAGTCCCACCCCTACTCTCGATCTTGAGTTAGGATCTACAGAGTAGGCACAGAACTCCAGGGAATGTGTTAAAGAGTACAGGCTTGCCTGAACTTGCCCACGGTGCCACCAAAAAGCCTTACATAATCACTTTGGGCCTAGTGGAACCACTAAGCTAAACTCTCCTGAACCCCAAGGCAATCTGCATCACTAGTTTATTGGGAATACTGACAAAGGCCACACACGGGCTCTTTAGTGAACCATAATCAGAAGGCACTAGCTGTTCTACTCTGAACTATTCCAATTCCAGTTGTAAACCTGTGTGAATTAATTCCTAAGCCATTGTGGTCTCAGATGTGGCCCTCTGGAGGTAACCTTTTTGCTATAGTATGATCAGTGCTGGCCTGGATTCCTTGTCTTATGCTGCACTCGCCCCTGGTTCTTGTCCCTGGGCCTTTGGAACTTCCATTCCATCACTGATAAATCTTTCCCTGTCCTCAACTGCTTTGCTGAATATACAGTCTCTTAAGACTATAAAATATCTTTTTATCGAATTCTTGGCTTTTATTGATCTTAGCTTAAATATGGCTTTTCCAGAGGAATAATATCTTTTTAGTACCCACAAGGGAAGGCTGTTTGTTTTTCCATTTTTAGGCACCAATGAGCTACAAGAAGGGGATAGTAATATTTTATTTCCTTCAGTTATTTTCTTTTGTTTTATGCTCATTTTATCAGTGCTAACTTCCAGAATCTTTGCCCCTTTCAGATATTCACTGAGAACTTGCGCCCTTGGTTTTTTCTGGCATTCACTAAGATGCTCTGATGTCTTCCTGGCTCTGCCAGTGACTTGGGCACATCTGAAATGTTTAAAAGACCCACTGCCACAGCCACAGCTGGGACTTTATCCAACCCAGAACTGCTACTTCAGATACCGCAGACAGGCCGTGGTTAAAGCCAACATCAACGTCCTCATGCGTTTATACAAAACAACTGGTTTCTCTGTCTCCAGACCACTCACTTCCTCTCAAATCTTAACTCAACATCACTTTACTGAAGGACAAATCTTACATTCTTATTATTTCTTATTGTTTAAAATCTTTCAATGTTTTCCCACCACTTTCAACATAAAATACTGTTTATTAATATCTTGTCATGTTCCAAAGATTTAGGGCATCTTAGAAAGATATGTAATAAATAGCTACACAAAAGATGTTAAAATTAATGATGAAAGGACAGCCTGCCAGGTAGCTCAGCAGACTAACGTGCTTGCTTAGGGAGATGCAGGGACTGGGGTCTGATACCCAGCATGTCACGCCGGCTCTGCCCCTGGGGTGCGCTGAGAGGTGACTGAGGCATGGTGGCATGCACCTGTAATCCAGGGGCTTGGGAGGCTGAAAATAGGAGGATCACTACGAGTCCAACCTGTGTAGTGATACCCTATAGGCCCTGTACTAAACACATAAAAAAAAAAAGTATAAAACAAAATTAATGATAAAAGGAAAAGAGAACAATACACAAATATTGAAAATAAAATAAGAAAAAGACCACTATCATTAAGGGAGAAAGAAGATACAAAATAGTATGATTCTAATTGTTTAAAAAATAAAGATGTACACATAGAAAATAAATTGAAAGGTGTATACCAAAGTACTGACCCACATTTACATTTAGTTACTTGAATAATAGTGACTTCCCACTGAACAATGACTTTAATCAAAGTGACTTAATTTTTCTTCGTCTTTAGTTCTACATTTTACAGTTTTTCTATGATGACAATATTGTTTTTCTTTCAAGAGGTTTAATGATTTAAATCTTTTCTTTCAAAAAAAAATCTTTTCTTTCAAAAATTCCTCCATCAAACAAGGAAGTGCACAACTTAACTGCTGCCCGCACAGCAGACACAAGAGATTTTGCAGAATATTAAAGGCCTCTGAGAAAGCAAGGAAGAGGCACTCTGCACTGGAGTGTATGCGGTGGGGGCGAGAACAGCAGTCCTCTCTTGGGTCATGGTCTTGATCTGGCAGCAAGTTCTGGATACTCAGAGCTCCACAGAGATTATTTTTCCAAGCATTGTAAAATGCTATTTTTAATTGCACTCCTGAATTTTATTTTCATTATCCATTCTTTAGTTTATTCTGGGTTTGTGCTGGGACTAAACTTTTCAATCACATTTTTTTTTTAACTTTTTATTTAATTTATTTATTTATTTATTTTGGTGTGTGTGGCCAGTTCAGCCCACCAGGGGGCGGGGCTGCCTGGCATGTGGTGCTGGAGAATTGAACCGCGGTCCCTGTGCTTTGCTTAGCTTAGCTTGTTCTTTAGGTGCTTTAGACCACTGAGCCATCTCACCAGCCCTCAATCACATTTTCTACAAATAGCACTAGACCCATTCTGGTGTGTTAGGAAATAGATACCAGGGCTGAGAAGAGAAGCAAAACTGCTTACAGTGCTAAGACCATGACAGATTTTTTGAAATAAGAAAAAAGGATTCCTGACAGCTTTTTCAAAAAAGAAAAAAACAATTCCTGCATTTGATTACAGCTAAAGCTCAGCTGCGTACCAGTTCCTGTTTGTGCTGCATTCACATAGGTTAGTGCTGGGAATTCACAAGAGACTGACAGCTTTGGGCTGTGGAGTGAATGCGAAGTGCTCCGGACACCTATTGGCGCAAGACTTGAGAAGTGAAACACTACTCTAATTTCTTTTTAGAGCAGCCTAACTTCTCTCTGCTGATCTGAAAGTGATGGAAAACTCTTTTCAGTGTCATCCACAGTGCTGCTACATATTCAATCCACTTGAGGTTTTCATTCTTTCCTTCTCATGTTTTCATTTGTTGAGGAAACATGAAAACTCTTGAATCTAGCTTAACAGAATAAAGAGAGGTGATCAAGTATTTATGGTCACTAGAACCTTTTCTTTCACTACACAGATCTTCCAGGTGGAGGAATATAGTTGACACAAAAACTCATATTTATGAAATATACTGAAGTAAAACTTTAAGATCTTTGGTTTCTTTTAGTCTATGAGAGATGCTGATGCTATGCATAATAAAAATGTCTCATTTCTTCACTCAGCCCTGGGGCTGGGGAGATGACTCAGTGGAATAAGCACTTCCCTGGCAAATGCAAGGACCTGAGTTCAATCTTCAGTTCTGCAAAAAAACCCCTAAACAAACAAACAAACAAAAAACAATAACAACAATAACAAAAAACCCCTCAGCCTTGGCTATTAAGACTGAAACCTACGTCTTGACTGGATAGTCCAATCCAGAAGGAAGAGTTCCAGAGCACGACCTGCACGGAGAGGAACGCCTGTTGGTAGGGGTCGGTGATGGTCACCAGGCGCATGTTCTCCTTGCTACACTCTTTTTGCGCATTGTACCATGTCAGCGTCTTTGGGATAATTTTGTACAGGTTATTTAAATATTTTATAGTCTCTGAAGTATTCTGCAAGGGCTGTCTGTCTTTAACTTCTGTATGTAAAAGAAGAGGACAACAGTTTTAACAACAATGACCCCCCATACACACACACTTTGCAAGTCATGGGTTAGTTTTTCAGATTTCTCATGCTTCTGATTTGCTTTAGATATTACTTGTTTATTTATTTATTTTAGATTTTGCATGGGGGAAATGGGCATGTCTTGCTGTATATGTTAGGTAAGATGAATTATTTCAAACATTTAATTTCTAAAATTAGGAGAAAATTTTGTTTAGTTGCTCTGATTTAGGTAGGAGAAAAGCTGTAAACAGAAGTAGCCAGCAATAAGATCATTGTAAGCTGGTGCCAAATGCTGTCTTTGTCTAAGCCGTTTTACCAGGAATGATATTAAAAGTGTCCCCTTACAAAGTTTTTACCTGGGAGAACTACAATGAGAAATGTGTACAAGTCACTTATTAGAGGACATATTTGAACCCTTGTTTTCTTTACAGGACCTATCTGAAATAAAGAAGTTACTAAAAAATTTGGGACAAATGGATAAAGATTAATTTAACAAAAACTTCTCCTGAGATACATGTAATAGTCCTTAATATCCCTAGTACATGACACAAATTATCCTTTTAGTCGCTTTTTAGGAACTTGCTGTGATCCCTGAAAACTAATGTAATGTCTCTTAAAAGCACGTTTTTCAAAACTCTTACTTTTTAAAAAAATTTTAAACAATTATTTATTTATTTATTTGGTACAGGGTCTTGCCAGGCAACTTAGACTTGTAGTGATCCTCCTGTCTCAACCCCTCCAGAGCTGGGATTACAAGTGTGTGCCACCACACCTGGTTTTGGTGGCCAGCTCAGTGTGGGGCCAGCACAGCACGTGGTACTGGGGATTGAACCTGGGTTTTTGTGGTTGCCAGGCAGGAGCTTAGACCACAGAACTATTCTCCAGCCCCAAGCTCCTATTTTTAAGTATATATTTTACATTTATTTGGATTATAGGGTATAGACAGTGATCCACTTACAGTGCTTCCCATCTTTTTAAAAAATGAGTACCAAATATGGCAGAAATAGATAACATTTTAAAAAATTAAGATTCTTCTTATCTTTTTCCCAAGATAAAGACTAAAATCTGAAAAATTCCAGAGTAGAAAGAAAAAAATTAAAAAATAATTTAATTTTACTAGGCAACTATTAACATACTCATTGAAGCACTTCAACTTTTACATATAACAATTATACCTGACAAAATTCATTTGAAAATAATTTGACACAGTGTCAGTATGAATTTATCCATATTGTGATTTTAGGGGTTTTTTGTTGTGTTGTTTTTGTTTTGTTACTGATTTTGGCTTTGTGAGACAAGGTCCTGTTATGTAGTTCAGGCTGGCCTTGAATTCACTATGTAGCCCAGGGTGGCCTCAAATTTGCAGCAATTCTCCTCAGCCTTTTGAGTACTAGGACTATACATGTGCCCCACCATGCCCAGTGCTGCAATTTTAAGTTACTTGATTATAAATTTATATGAATCCATTTATAAGATTTTTATAAAAAAGAAAAAAGGAACATAAATACTTAATAGCATGAAATAGTACGGTTACCTAGATAATAATTGATACCTGAATATTTTTGACAGAGAGATACAGAATGCCGTTCAGTGCAAGAAGTAAAATTCCATGTCCCAGTAAAAGGTGACTTTGGGAGGTTGAGTATCAGTGCACAGTGGTAGTGGGACTCTTCATCAAAAAACTAAACAGAAAGGCAAATATGTACACACAATCATGAAATGCATAGTCATAAACTCCTGTGAAGACAAATGCATAACACTATCAGAATCTCTAGGACAAAGCAAAAGCAGATCTAAGGGATGTTTACACCTGTACCTACATGAAAAAAAAACCAGAGCATTAATAGATAATTTAACGATTATCTTGAGTCCTAGGTAAAGAAGAGTAATTCAAATCAAAAGCTTGTAGAGGGAAAGGGATTGTAAAGATAAGAATATAAATCAATGAAATTGAAACTAAAAGTCCACAAAAGATCAATGAATCAAATAGCAGGTTTGTTTG